TAGAGCGACTCGTACGGAAATATTTTGTCACGGAGTTAGTAAAATGTAATAACAATAAAAACAATGATTCAGACGAAACCTCTTATTCAAATAATATCATACGCCGCGGATGTCGTTGTTTTAAGGGACACAGTGTTAGCAATACAAGTACAGACATGGTAATAAAGACTAATTGTTATATATTTATTCCAATGAGGAAGTCATTTAATTTCTCAGATATAGCGAGTTTTACCTATTAATATTATTGAACAAGAGTTATGATAGGACATGCAAGCCTAATATTTAAAATATCTTGATTTGACAGCAAACTTTACAGGAAAAAAAAACAGGCAGTTTGGCGCACAAAGTTTTGCTTTTGCTTTGCACAGCCTAAAATATGGCGCTCCCCCATTAAGTGAAACTGATGTGACGGACACCGGAACGTAGTATGCGTACCAAGTTGGGGTTAGGCCATAATTTTATTTTAATTTTCCTTACTTTAGTTATATTACGAATTAAGCGACTAGCCAAGTGACACCCGGAGTATTTGTACCTGAAATTATGGCCTCACCCTAACCTGGTACACATACTACGTTCCGGTGTCCGCCATCTTGGCTCACATACTTCGGGAGTACCAAAATATAACAATACTATATACAAAAGTTTTAATACAAATATAAAGCATGCATTGATGCACAGATGATACTTTGTTTAGTTGATTAAACTAACGCTGAAACAAACGCCAATATTAAAATGAGCAACACAGAAATTCAGGAATTGAAGCCGAGGACTTTAAAGGTATTCTGTAGTTGATTATTTCCATAATGTCATATTTTCAATTATAAAAGTCGTTTATATTCTTCATTTACATAGTTTGTATGATTCTGAACTCACCGAAAACTGAGAATCATTAAAGTCTGCTTATAAGCACTGATTAGTATATATATGCTTTATATAACTATTGGTGCCAGGGGCGTGTCAAAATTTCCTGCTTGCAGAGGCGAGTATCTAATAATGATGCCCTTTATACCTACCTTCCAAAATGATTTGGGGACAAATTATAGAGGTTGTTATACATGGGAGAATTTAAACTGAAGGTCAAGTAAGAGTTAAATGCTTGTTATATTATTGGACACGTAGTGGACATCACGATCATTTCAATATTATGGTGTTATTTTTATTATTTGTCTCCATCATTTTTAAAAAATCGCTTTTCTCTTCGAATACTGGACCAATTGCTTTGAAATTTTCAGTGGTTAAAGATAAAATTTCTCCAGAAGGCTATTATTTTTTTTCTCGCTATGACGTCATCAAAATTATTGCCATTGGGTGGCGCTACGTGTCCATATATTTGAGCATATCTCTCCTGTTATTTAAATCATCAAACTAAGCAACAAACTCACCCCTATAACGTGCTGTTCGGAGCGTTCCCATAGAATTCAGTTTAAAGCCAAACTAATGCCTGCCCTATATTATCGAACAAACGCTGAAATCACACAATCGCCAACTATTGACCTCTCAAACGGTAATCTTGTATTTATATATATACGAACAAACACTGAATGATTGCTGAAGGATTGTTCATTTCTTGCCATTGTTGTGAACTGCTTGTCTGAGGAAATCTGACATCGGTCGGACGAAGCGTTACAGGAATACGTTTGTGTTAGTGCGCAGCAGGACTCTTCAATTCGATAGAATAGTCATGTTTATTCCTTCTACAGCATCATTGCATTGCACGCATACGGATCCACTAGCATAAAGGCATAGAGGAAGGATAGGGAGTTAGTCTTGCGCAACCCAACGCAAAATTACATTGAATGTTGTAAATTTGTGTACGTTTTGGGATCAAATACTTATATTTCTACAATTTTTTGATGGGCCGACTGACCAATAATCACTAATTAATTTTTATTTTTTTTCTATTTATAGACCCTAACTCCAACCAATAATCTGCACAAGTATCCATTGATATGTTAGGAGCTACCGGTACTTTTTTATTGGAAGGATATATTCCGGTATTAAAAATGTACTCAAATAAACAAATTTTCAGTATATATCAAGTATTTTTTGTTTTAGGTTCAAGCAAATATGAACAATAGCATTACCATTTCAAAACGAACTATTGTTATTATCATTTCTGTTTTGCTAATGGCTGTCGTTGGAATCTCATACGAGATCAAAGGATTTTGCTCCCAAATGGTGAGTTGTGTGAAAAAAAATTTGCGGTTTACTGTTATATATGGAAGCTTGAAATTTTTCGTTCTGGCATGTACACGATATAAATGAATAATCTAAGTAAATTTTAGTCTAGTCCAATGCATAATTTTCGAGAATATTTTCGAATGTTTACAACCATGTCCGCAAATTTATCTGATTGGATGAACTATCCGAAAGCTTGGTTTCAATATTGTCGTTGCTTCACAATTTCTAAATATTATATTTTTTGCAGACGCAGCGCGATGAAGATTATCATAAACTGATGACTGAATTTTCGAACACAAACGTAAAGTTGACATCACACATCAAACATCTTGAGAATAAAATGAAGCAAAAAGACGAAGACATAGTAAGTAGAAGATTTGAATTTTTTTCACATTACGTCAGGCGATCTAGAGAATGCAGTATGGTTAATATGAACGACCAAGTGCAAAAAGAATGTGCCCAAATGTTAGTTATTGGAATAGTTAACAAGGTTATCTACTATTTAGATTATTTCTTTTCCATGATTTACCCGTTTTCACTTAACGTCGTTACGTAAAGGAAGGAAAATTAATTTTCATTCCAATTATTTTTGAAACTGATGACTGACGTTTCGAACAAAATCGAAAAGTTGACTTCTGACATATAATACTTCAAAGATACGATGATACAAAAAAAAAAGGAAATTGTAAGTCGGCGATAAAATGTATGGCGGTGACAAAGTGTACTTAAAAAGCGTTTGTCCGTTTTATATTAGTTAATTTATGTAAAAGACACCGATTCAATGCACCCAGAGTTTGTGATATAATGAAGTATAAGTAGTCATCATCTGAATACGTTTCTTTTTTCATCAGGAACATCTAAAAGGAAAAATAGAAAGTTTGAAACAATCGGTAAGTGTGATTTACCTGACACCCGATTTACTTGACACCGCAAATTAAGAAGTAAAAAATATTTAATGATGGAACTGACCATGATAAGGTATCGCTTTATGTTAAATATGAAAAATTCAAACTCCAAGATCTTAATTTAAATGATACAAGAAAATCGGTAGGGTCAGCTAATATCGATTAGAGCAGTGGTAGGAAACCATCACCGGGTTGCGGCCCATCGCCGGTCCGCGGAAAGGTGACACAAAAATGGACAAATCTAACCACAAACCCTACGATTAAAAAACAGCATCCAACATCAAACCAGACAAACACAACACTTTTGAGCAGCATGTCTGACTTCACAAACAATTGCCATGTCAGTATGTCGCATTCTATTGTTTCCTCTATACGCCCGTATAAGAATGTCTCTCATCAATCCGAATAAGATCTCCCAAACAAAATGATTCTCGCTAAGAACGTGACTACTCCACCCACTACTGGCTCGTAGATAACCGGTCATACCTAGTCAGTGCTAATTCTATAATTCAGATTCAGGATAATCATAAAGTTAATCATAATCATCGAAGTAGGTTGGATGTAAGAAACACGTTACGTGTGTCGGTGTCGACCATAACTCTAATGTGGGAACAGTCAATGACCAGCAAAAAAATACAGATATCGCATTAAATAGCATCACCTTCGTTTTTAGTATATTTACTGCATAGGATTAAGTTCGTTTGTATGAAGATGGTCCGACAAATTTTTGGTCAGGCTTTACCGGTCTGTCACTTGAAAAAGGTTGCCGACCACTGCATTAGAGTGTCTTCATATTTATTAATTTTCCAGGGATACATGGATTACGTCAGGAATGTAGGTACTGTGGCTTATGCGTTGGGTGGTTTGGGTGCTTTATACTCCCTCGGTCTTCCTGCAACAGGATTCAAGATCGGAGGCGAAGCAGTATTTGTTATAGGGAAGTCCACCCTCTCAATGATAGGAATGGCGTGATTTTCTCGATGCTCGACTTACACATCTTTAAGCTTATTTAGTGTTGTGCTCTAAAACATAGATTATTAAAGTGCTTCACTCGGAGCCCCAGGGATCCTTGATTGAAACCTCGGGCTCTGCAATTTATTTCATTACATATTTAAATACTGACTTGGGAAATTGAAATTTACTAACGGCAGATGCGAAATGTGGTAACTAGGCGGTAATTTAAATATGGCGTTATCTATGAGTTCCAATGGATGATGTCATATTTCAAATACTGTCTAGTTGGCTCATTCCGGCACTACATTGTGTAAATACCAGTCTGTTTTTGTCATTATTTTCATAACCTTATTATGGGTATCCGTAAATAATGGCCAACCTCTTCACAGACTAAATAACACCGATAGTTTGAGAAACCCTGCTGAAAAATGTTGATGTTGGACTTAACCGTGTTGGTATCGCGTTATTCAATCAAATGGCCGCATTCTCTTTTCTATGTGTCCAGCTAAACTCTGAAGTTGGTTATATGGCCCAACGACAAAAATATTGCACACCCCTGCCTTCAAACAGTCCAAACTGCAAAACCTTGTGTATTTTATATACGTAAATGTAACAATAATCAATCTATCTGTTTTCTAATGTTGTCTCTTGTTAGTCGTTAAACTGTAGTACTCTAAAGATCGTCGCATTTCAACTTACATAACTTATGTAAAATGCGTCGCATACGTATTCTAGATAGTGTTTCAGCCAAATCGACCGCCTATTTTGGTGGAATAAATTGGGAAGAAATTTTCAAACCAGAAAACTGCGTACTCCTTCCTACCATCTAGGTTAGTTAATTATCAGGTGATCTTACCTAATTTTTTCTATTTTTGCTCCAGAAATTAATGTGTGTTTGAAGTTGCAACAGTGATTCATTACACATTCTATATTAGCTCATATAGTTCTTCGTAGTTTTCAATGGACACGCCAGACAGTAGCGCAATAACTAACGACAAAGTTACGGATGCAAACCGACCAAGTCATGGAGATTTGCTTTTAACTTCCCTACGTGATCTGAGAGATCAGGACATTGTTCAAGATTTTACAATTCACGTTGGCGAAGTTTCCTTTCGAGCACACCGCGCCGTGCTTGCTGGTTGCTCTGATTACTTCCGCGCTATGTTCTCACACAACACGAAAGAAAATGGAGAAGGATCTGTTGAAATGAAAGAGGTGGACGCATTTGCTGTCGGAAAATGCATTGAATATATGTACACGGGAAAATCAGATGTAACAGTCGAAACAGCTGCGGAAATACTAAATGTTGCCAGGGTGATGCAAATTGATGAACTCACAAAAATTTGTTTCGGCCGCATTGAAGAAAACTTATGTCCAGATACGTGTCTTGCCGCTGCAGAATTATTGAAATTGTTCCAATGTAACGATTTAGAAGCAAAAGTTGAGAATTACATAAAGCAAAATTTTGATGATGTCATATTAACTGAAAAGTTTTGTATCTTTTCGGCAAAAGAAACCTTAGATGTTATTTTCAAGTATGCAAAGAATGATGATATGACATGGAAGGCAGGAAAAAATTGGATAAATTATGATCTTGACGAAAGAAACTGCCACATCGACGACTTTTTAAAATTAGTTTCATTAGAAAACTATCCTTCTCCAACTCTGCTTCAAAACATATACAAAGACCAAATGATACGAGACTGCCCAAAGCGTTCCGAAATTTTCTGTCGGCGACTGTTTTCAAGCATAGATGACCTGACGCAAAACCTACGCGCGAAAATTGCCTTTTTGTGAAGATACTTTTAAACAATTACAAGTACATAGCAAAGGAAGCTTCGGATTTCGTCAACCAATTTTTAGTCGATCATTTCGAACAAATTGTTTCTAGAGAAGAATTTGTTGATCTTTCCGAGAAGGACGCTTTGATGATTTTCCTTGCAGAAGATACGGAATATTTAGCTCCTGAAAAATTGAGATGGAATGCGGTACTTAAATGGATTAAGTTCGATGAAACACGAACATCAAATTTTCCAACTTTATTGAGAACAATAAACTTTTCCGAGCTGTCGCATGAATTCATCGAAAATACCATCAGAAAAGAAGTTCTGATGGAAAATAATTTAGAATGCATCTCGATATTGATGGACGGTGTTTTCGACTCTAAAAGTAAAGATCGCAAGCTAGATAACGCCATAGCAGTGATGTTGAGGGATGGAACTATCAATGGTTATCGATATGCCGAGAGAAAGTTTTTCAGCATTCCAACACTTCCAAATTCTATAGTCTGGAAAATATTTTCGATAAACAACAAGTTATGCCTTCTGGCCAACAAATCGATGTATTACTTAAATAAGAGTAACAACTGGGTGAAGAAAACAGATTTAAAAATGTTTGATCCAAAAGCACAAGTTACCGTACTTGGCGACAAAGTTTTCTTTGTTGGTCAATCAAGAATGCAATTTTACGACATAGTTGAAAATGCTTGGAAAATTGATCTACCAGAATGTCGAATAACAGATAAATTCTTCGTAACTGGTCTAAATGGAAGGATATACGCTTTCGGAGAAGGGATTCTGAGATTTTATGATTTGGGAGATAATCAATGGCAGCGATTAGAAGCAGAACAAATTGAACACGGTTCATCAGCAACTTCATATCGACAAAAAATATACATTTTGTGTCCGCAGCTCCAACAACTAGTAGTTTTCATCCCTGAAAATATCGAGGCACAATGGGAAACACTCGCTTGCTCACTGCATTACATGCCAGTGGACGCTACTATTTCTGTTGGGGATAATAAATTGATTGTATCTTACGAGATGTCTAATAAACAAATTGCACTATTTGGCTATGATTTTACATTTAATCAATGGATTACTATTACTGGATCCAATGAATCGATTCAACCCGCATTAAGTTTCGGGTCTCGTCGAAATAACACCAAAGGCTTTTTTGGATCTATTCTGAGCCCTCAAGGTCTCATACCAGCCGAAGTCAATCCCGAGGCCTCTAACTCAAATAAAAAGACTGAAGTATTCCGACCGTTTTCTTCATGTTCGTTTAGAATGGCTCAATAACGTACCCAGGATGACCCTGAATGAAAGTTGTGCTATTCATCTGGCGTCATACTTATATCTCCTTGTTTATTGAACATAACCTGTAACAGCGCTACGGTGATTAACGATAAAGGGCGGTTGGCCGATTGTATCTTTAGTCTCGAAATCTCCTCAAATTTGTAAACAAGAAATGGCGAGGTGTATGCAGTGCAGCATGAAGACTCTCTTTCTGTTCACATTAGGAAACAAAATGGAGTCTAGAGACTGGAAGGAGAACAACTCAGCGAGCAATTAAACTGACTCCCTTCAACAGATCACAACATTGATTGGCAAAAAAGCAGGATTTAGAAAACGTAGCGTACTACAAGATAATTTTCTTTAATATATCCGCCGTCTTTACCATATCATGCCTTTCTTGTATAAACACATCCGGAATCCGGAATTATGAGAGGCAAATGCTCTTTAAAAAAAAATTATGAATAAATTTTAATATATGTTATAAATTTTACCAATGTATCAGCTATGAAATTGTTTACATCAATATCGTTTATTGAAAAAAATCAAAATGTGTTTTGAAATGTTCCTGATTCGGTAATACACAGTTCCGTCCGATTTGAATATAACATCAGCATTTCTCTGATTATGCAAATTTGAAATTTGATAATCCTATTAATACTTGTATAACGTGACTTATATACATTTATGATTTATTATTCAATGATATATTCAGTAAATATGATAATAATGGAGTTTATATTTATTGAGTGGCACATCAGTAGAGCTTGAAGCATTCAGGTGAAACTTATTCTTACTCTATTGTTGCAACCATACAAAAACACTATGGAAGTCAGGTCATGGACAATTCGAGCCTTTAATCAAGTCAGAGTCATCAAATTTCAAATGTTGAGTCAAGTAATTCAAGAGGAATGGCAAGATAGTTTATTTTATTATCGTCTTTTGGAAAAGCATTTAGCACATAAACAGATCAGGATATTCAAAAAAAGTCCAAGCGTTCTGTCACCAACGCTTAATCATAATATCTTCCTATCGAGTGAATCTGCCAACCAGTTGTAAATCATATTAGAAAAATACAAAATGATAACCCTAATTTTGTGCGTTTAATAGTGAATGAACTAACAAAAAGAATATTGATTATTTCAAAACACATGAAATTTATGAGGATATTTTGCCTTTTCTACTGAGATTGAATCCACAAAATTTGTACTAAAATATTCGTAGCTTTATAAAAGCTTTGACAGGTATTGCTTCGATAATTTAGTTGTGAATGATGTATCAGTTTAGTTTAGACGGATATGGTTAATACATGGTCATGAGTACTTGAAAGAGTGCCGTCGCAAGCGAGTGCTGACACGCTCACGCTCCTTCAATCAAAAGCGTACTGAAAGGATAATAGCCACCACTATGGCGCTAAGTATTTTATACATATAAGATCCATGTGCCACTACAAAACCCTTCATTGCCAAAAATCGTTTTCTTTGATCCGTAGAACGGCAGAGATGAAATATATCTAATATTCAGCATTTGCATAAATATCTAAGTGTCATTAATATGAGGCACTGTCGGAAGATGACGTACAGAAGAATGACGTGTAACTGTGACGTGATGTGCACTGTACAAGTTTTACCGCTTGCTTATCAAATATACAAAGAAAATTTGCTTTATTTGGCGATCGGCCCTTAATTAGGTGCTGGACAAGTATGACGTTGATTGCCAGGCGGTGTCTTGGCCGAGAAATCATCACACTTTAGATTTCGATCCGTTGAAAAAGCGCTTTGTTAAATCGCGCTGGAATTTTTTTTTATGAGGAAGACCTCCGATACTGTAAATTTGTAAAAGTTTTGACATTGTTCGTTTCGCTATCTTGTTTTCGCGTGACCTAACGCTGAATATTTCGTCAGACATTCAAGATCGCCAGGGGGAAACCCCTAAAATGAAATTCGCGTTTTAGAACTGACGAAAAAGAAAGCAGTAAAATATATCAACAATTTAAAGTTACTTATCAAGCGTGGAACCCATCAAAACTAGATCTGCTTTGAGATAGGTTAAATAAATATAAAATAAAGCTTGGCGTGAAATGGAAAAAGAAAAAAAACATCAATGAATAAGTTTAAATACTACTGACTGCAAAATTCATTCAACTTTGCGTTTTTCGTAATAGTGTACGTGTCTATTTTCAACACTACTTGTCTATTTTCAACAATACACAAGCTTTTTTGAAGTCTCGCTTCTAAACGCTGCTATCGTTGAGCTTGTGAATAACGCTATTTGGGAAACGAATAACTAAGCGGCGTTGCTACATTCGGTATTGCATCTGGAGATATCTTTATAAAAACAATGATTCAGACGAAACCGCTTGTTCAAGTAATATCATACGCCGCCGATGTCGTTGTATTAGGGCAGTGGTTCCTAAACTGTGGGTCCCGACCCCGAGTGAGATCACGTGAAGATTTTCCTCAGTCGCCTTATTTCTTATAACATACACACACAAGTGACTAGGATTTAAAAGTTGGAAAGTGAAATTTGTGCTGGTCGGCGTGTACCGAAAAATGACAAAAGGTCACTATTTTCAGCAATAAGTCGACCATATATTGTCCAAACGACGCCAATATTTATGTGGAAGGCTACTTAAACTCTCCAGCTGGTCGGCAGATACCGGTATTAGTAAATGTAATTGAGTAACAGTGTTACGAGCGCCAATAATATTCCCATTTAATCGATTCTTGATCATGTTACATCCGAATGGGTAATTGACCTTAGTCCTTATCTTTCATTCATGAGTAACTGGAGGCTGAACCAGTGTCCCACCCGCTGCTACGCGAACCAGATTGTTTGCCAGGCTGCGATAAATTATGTTGGTTTGTTATTTTGTACAAGTTTTACCGCTTGCTTATCAAATATACAAAGAAAATTTGCTTCATTTGGCGATCGGCCCTTAATTAAGTGTTTGACAAGTATGACGTTGATTGCCAGGCGGTGTCTTTGCCGAGAAATCATCACACTTTAGATTCCGATCAGTTAAAAAAGCGCTTTGGTAATAAATCGCGCACGTGTCTAAAATCGACCAGTAGGCTACGTGTTTTTGTCCACATCGCCCCATTGCAATATTAGGTATTTAGACGTTTCATACATAATTTCGAAGCGTTTCGAGCAGTGAAACACAAGACCACTTAAATGATGTAATTAATTGATTTTCGAAGTTGTTGAACGTTTTTAGTCGCGGGGTCGCGAATATCTGTAGGCTTTGATTTTATGAAAATTGGGGTCGCGTAAAAAAAGTTTGAGAACCACTGGTCTAAACAACGCTTTTTGATCCATGCATAGCCGGTGCGGCATTATTGCACACTCCACATAATTTCATCCAGCTTATGTTCCCTTCACAAATGTGCTCTATTTTAGACTTAACGTTATTTTCCTTTGTGGTGATCTTCAATTCCCAAACAGCAATTCTCTTTAAACTCTTTCCTCTATGACGTAAAGAATGAAAGCATTAAACTGAGATGCTGAAGAAATATCTCTGGATTCATCAAGCTGAAAAGCGTTCAATCCGGATAATGACTTCGCTTCAAAGTCAGTGACCACTTGCTCTTTAATATTACTCTTCATATCAGCGATTATTTTCTGAAATGTGTTGCCTGACAAAGGGATTGCCTCTATCCTTTTTTCACCTAGTTCGTTTAACACAATCCTGACCACGGCCCGGGCACTTGGCTTGGCAATAATCTAACTAATGTTGTGGACAGGGATGCCACTTTTGGATTTACGAATCGGATCGATTCGAATCGCATCTTTTTCGAATCGATTCGAATCAGATTTACGCGATTCGGAAAAAGAGAGCGATTTACCGAAAAAAATAAACATTGAACGTTTGTTAACATTGTTTTCGGCGGCGTTAAATCTGCTGAATGCGTTTATGCGGCACTCCAAATAACACCAAATTACGGAACCGAAAAAAAAACATTGAACGTTTGTTAATCGTTGTTTTTCGGCGGCGTTAAATCTGCTGAATGCGATTATGCGGCACTTCAAATAACACCAAATTACGGGTCGAAAATAAATGTAAATGAATTTTTCGTGATTGACGTTTTTTACTTATCTGCCGTCATTTGTTTTAAGTTTAGCACAACACACTCTTTTACGCATCACTCGAGATGATGTGTGGCGTAATATTCCCCAAACTGCGAGTTCAGTTTTCCACTGAATGGCCTAAGTTCCTATTATGCGCGAATTTTAATGGATCGTATACCCGAAAATCTCGTGATAATTTTGATGAAAATTTTCAACAGCACACCTGCGCTGCGACTAAGTTATGGTACGCCCAGGCATGATGGAATAAAGAATCGGCCAACGACGTCTAGATAATATTCAATTTCGATTGAAATTTAATTTAAACTTTGTTCTGAGTGAAATAATTCGCGTACATTTGCAGAGAACTATTACTGAATGAGTTCATCGGCCGGCAATGTTAATTGACAATCATGTTTCTCATGCTAAAATAAATATTTTTTTTGCGTTTGTCAGGCTTCCACTCGAGTGGCGGTAAACGAAATCAGGGGGACATCATGTAATAGTACATATACGTTTTTTTCATCTGTTACATAAAAAAGTAGTATTTACTTTTAATTTTGTTAGCGCGATACAAGCGGGAATAAATCGTTTCGGATTATTTCCAGCAAATGACACAACGGACAGGTGGGAGTAGATAATACTTGAGGAATGGTAACTTGTGCACTGTTTTACATCAACACGTGGCAGATTTCATACCAGAACAAGCATACTGTGCGAATGTCGTCTTACTTTAGCCCCAGCGACCATGTTTGATCGAGATACGGCGTCGACCAATTATCGCTCGTCAGCGCCGCGTCCATTATGTACATTTGGGCTTTCTGAATTACGAAATTAAACGTAGTCCACGATAATAATAAATCCCGAGTTTGCCAATAACTCTGTTATCCACTAATAATATTGTCTCTAATATTTATGGAAATTTTTGTTCGCAATCG